GGAAGAGATCATTTGACATCTCTAACATGGGAGAAGCAGCTGTTAAAAGTCTTATGAAAGGCAATAAACACATCAAACATGAAAATGAAAAAGAAGCAACATTGAAAATAACAGACTTCACATACAAACATTCAGTATCAGTGGATACTATAGCTGCAAAAAATCCATGGCAAAGACTGACACTGCCAATTTTGTATCACATTAAGACAATAAAAGCTGAAATACAAATGCTGTTTAGAATCACTACTCTTACTCACAGAAATGTTTCAGGCCATGTTTCCAGACAGTAATGTAGCAAAAATGTTTTCTTGTGGTGAGAAAAAAATGGCATATGTTTGCTGTTTTTGATTGGCTCCTTACTTTTCAACCCTGTTGAGAAAACAAGAGAATGAAGAAGATTGACATTTCCTGTTGTTTGGTGAAAGCCTTAAAAGATGATTGAGACCAGACAAATGGACATTCAAGGTAATTAATTTCATATTTAATTGTTCTCAGCATGATATTTATAATAGCAAATTTTATTGTCTTTATTTAATATGTGAATTTGTTAAAAGTTTAATATTAAAATATGAAGGTAAATTTTGACCCATGGTGGGTGTCAATACACTCTTTTAAAATCATTTCTGTATTTTTATAAAAAAATTAAACAGTAATAAAGTTTTTAGATAAAAATTTTCTAATATTTTACTGAAAGGTGAATACTGATTAGATTTTTAACATTTGTAGTTTCCCTGTGGGATGTAAACACTAGGTTGTAATGAGGTACCTAACATCACAGTTTAAGGGACATGCTACTGCTGATCATCTACTTCATAGTTTTCTGTAAGACACCAGTAATCTGAGTAGACACAAGCTTTTTCAGGTTGGTAACTTTTTAACCATGATGCAATTGACTAAATCATGTATTTGCATCATTTACAACCTGATAATTCATTTATTTACCATTTTAGATTTCCATGGATGGTTCTAATATGAATTGGAAGTTCCTTGATCAGCTGTGGAACCACTGTATGGACACAAATGGAACCTCTTTTCTAAATTTTGGCAGCTGTGGGCTTCACATTCTTCATGGTGCATTCATGACAGGGATAGCAGAATAAGCCTGGCACTTGGACACATTCTTCCAGAACTGTTATTGGTTATTCAATGACACTCCAGCAAGATAGGAATACTTTACATCAGTTACAGGCTCCAATAACTTCCCACTCAGGTTTTGTAAGCACAGATGGCTTGAAAACATTCCTGTAGCTCAGAGAATTTTGCAGTGTCTTCCAAGCATAAAGAAATATATATTAGCAGTGCAAAAAAAAAAATAAAGACGTAAAGGACACTAAAAGTTCTACCTATGAAACAGTATCTAAAGTGCTAAATGCTCCTCTGTTAGAGGCAAAGATCAATGTGTTTATTTCTATTGCACAACTTATAACACCATTTCTAGCAGCTGATATGTTTAGTGTGTTGAAAAGTATTTTATGTAAAGTTCTAAAAAGTGAGGTTTTAGGAAATCATGGATCATACAGTATCATGAAGTTAGATTTAGACAATGCAAATAACTTGAAGGTGATACACAAAGTTGATACTGGCTTTGTAGCTGAAAGACTGATAAAGTCACTTCAATCATCCAGTGCTAAGGGTATGAGTGAAGAGTATTTATGGTTTCAGATCTCATGTGAAGAATATGATCATGTATACAGTTAAGAAATTTCAAGAAAAGTCTCCAGTAAAGTTTCAGTTAGTGAGGCTTTTGCCATGTTTGGGTCCAAGAGAAATTGTAAAGAATAAAGCATGTTGGATTCAGAAATTTGATGGTATTTTAAAATTATTGGTTGAGGCACAGAAAGTAAACAAACTGAACTGTGATGTCATTAAACTTCAATATGTGAACTTTATTGATGAATATTCTTGAGTATGAGTCAAGATTCATTGCCAGCTTGTATTTTGATCTCCTGTCTGGTAGACAAGGCTTTGAAAAGTAGTGGTACATATTGAAAGGGTTGTTAGTCCTATGTCATAGTCAAGCCTCAGTGGAGAAAGAGAGGTTTTTCTGTGAACAAAGAGGTGTGCCAACTAAATATGAGAGAGAGGACTTTTGTTACAAAGACAGTTGTACTTGATCACCTGTTATCAGTTGGAGGTCCTCTGAAAGTTAATATAAATAAAGAACTGATTGTGTCAGAAGTTAGACAGAAGTACATGATGTGTTTGGATGAAAAAAGGAAATGTGTAATGGATGAAATGGAGGAGTGAAAAATATAAGAAAAGGAGGCTTGAACCTGATGCAGATGTTCTCACAAAGTCAGCAGATAGTTTTGCTGAGAAGAAAGAAATAATATACAATGTGAAGGAATTGAGAATATTGGTAGCAAAGGGTAATAGTCATAAAAGGTCTGCCAGAGAAAAGCTAATTGATGCAGGAAAACATGATACTGTAATTAACATTTCATATGTTATATGAATGATAAAATAGAATAACTTATCATAAGTAATTTGACTCAATTTTAAATGATTAAGAATTTGAAATAAATTTTCTTAAACTGTAATCTGTCTTTTACTTGATCTATCTGAAGATGTATAAATGTATTCTGATGGCTGAAATAAGTCATGAACTTGGAAGTAACTGTCATAGAAAAGTCATGGAATTTATTTTTCAAAATGTTGTACAGACTCTGCATACTTGTATTTTGATTACTTCTTATAGTCACATACTTCTATTTGGATTTTTTGTTACAGTCACATATTTTTATTTTGATTACTTGTTATAGTCACATACTTCTATTTGGATTGTTTGTTACAGTCACATACTTCTATTTGGATTATTTTGTTACAGTCACATATTTTTATTTTGATTACTTGTTATAGTCACATACTTTTATCTGGATTGTTTGTTACAGTCACATACTTTTATTTTGATTACTTGTTATAGTCACATTATTATCTGAATTACTTGTTATAATCACATACTTTTATCTGGATTGTTTGTTACAAGTAATCAAAATAAAAGTATGTGACTGTAACAAACAATCCAGATAGAAGTATGTGACTAACAAACAATCCAGATAAATGTATGTGACTATAACAAGTAATCAAAATAAAAGCATGTGACTAACAAACAATCCAGATAAAAGTATGTGACTATAACAAGTAATCAAAATAAAAGCATGTGACTGTAACAAACAATCCAGATAAAAGTATGTGATTATAACAAGTAATTCAGATAATAATGTGACTATAACAAGTTATCAAAATAAAAGTATGTGACTGTGATAGTCACATACTTTTATCTGGATTGTTTGTTACAGTTTGTTGTAAGGTTGTGTATTTGACCTTGGATTAGTACTATTGTTACATACTTTTATCTGAACTACATACTATAGTTGTGTATATGACCTTGGATTAGTGCTATAGTTACATACTTTTATCTGGATTGTTTGTTACAGTTTGTTGTATGGTTGTGTATTTGACTTTGGATTAGTGCTATAGTTACATACTTTTATCTGGATTGTTTGTTACAGTCACATGCTTTTATTTTGATTACTTGTTATAATCACATACTTTTATCTGGATTAGTTGTTATGGTCACACTTTTATCAGAACTACATACTATAGTTGTGTATTTGACCTTGGATTAGTGCTATAGTCACATTACATGTACCCGATTCCATTGTTACAGTTACACAACTAAATGCATTAAAATATAGAATCCATACTTAGGCTCAACTTACTCAAATATAAAAAAGTGACAATAAGTATTACATCACAAAAAAACATTAACATTTCTTCTGAATAATAAAACTGTTACTTTATAATCACAGTCAACCGAATGATTACCAGTTTCATTCTGTTTCTCTGGCTTTACAAATCGTTCAAAAATCTGAAGTTTGACAATTATGTTACATAGGACTTCTAAAAAACAAGATATATTCAAATGGAGGATATAATATTTAATTTCCAGGCACATCCAGATTAAAGAGACCTGCAATAGTCATACCACAGTCATGGTAACTAAATGTGTGGTATCTTGTAACAGGTGAAAATCTTTAAACACTAAGGTGGATTCCACAAGCCATCCATCTGCCCCAGACAACAGAGAACAACATTATCAAAAAGGATCTTCATTGGGAAATGTGACAAAAATCATCCAAGTTGCATCCAATGATATATCTGTTTAACTATCACATATCTCAAGCAGATTGAGAATGAAACAGGAATTCATACTATTAATTACAGAGACATACCACTCATGATGCCAAATGCAGTGCTTATGATTTCTGTGTGATAAAAATGTTGAAACAGAAACTGAGAAACCATCATCCTCATACACTAGGTAGAGGACTTGTGTGATTTGGACATGACAACCTAACAACAGAGCCTTTTGCAGTGGAAACTATGCTGCAGGGCTATTGTTAAGATTCTTGGTTGTCAAATAGAGCAAATTCATATGTGATGACATAGACAGCAGTCAACACATCATTCTCATATATATCATACTCATCCTCTAATAGGCTTATCATTTCATTGTTTTCATATGTTTATGCTATTTCTTGTTAAGGGTTTAATTATCAAATTCATTATACTTGTTTACCATTAATTTGGAATCTAATGCTTAGATTTTCATAAATGTACTTCTTTCAATATAGAATCAATTCTACTTTATGAAATGTAATAATTCTTTTCTATCTGTTATTTAGAAGTATAATGATTTTATATTCACATAATTAAAGAATGAACTTGTTGAACCTTTTCGTAGTTTTAAAAAAGTGTTAGGAATAATTATATGTAATATTAAATTCTGCTCTATATCTTGTAATCTCTTGCCTGAAATATCAAGAGTTTAATTTTCTTTAAAAGGGAAAGCAGGTAGAAATGAAAAGAAACAATTTCAAAGCATTTTCTTAATTTTTTAGATGAACTTTAGTAAAAAAAAAAGAGGTTGCCATGTAATACTTTTTCAATAAAAAACAGAGCAATTAATGCCAGAACATTTGCAGTTCAGAGCATAATAAGCATTTTATCCTTTTATTCTTGACCCAAGAAACTATAATAATAATAGTAATATTTAGAAAGGTGTTACAACTCATCCTAATTTAACTATAACTAAATTAGCTTTTCTTTCAGGAATTTTTAAGACACACATAAAAATATCCTACAATAAAGTACTCTTTTAGAACGGAACTTCACAATGATAAAACAATCACTATAATTTTACAATACATAGTTTTCTGTAAATATTTATTTGTCTTCTTGATATATTTGCTTAATACATGTATCTTTATTGTAAGAAAATATTATAAGTAGCAGATAAAATGCACACATAGCATTTTGCACACCATTGTGTTGTTTTTACAAGGGAACTTTTTCAACAGAGCAATCAGCATAGCAAAACCAATAAACAGTCACATTAATATTTTTTGCAGTTCTGAGCTTGAGGAGTAAAAAATTCTGAGACAAACATGGCAAAATCAGAAGGAAAGTAAGAATATCTATGTAACTGAAAGAAAAATATATTATATCCCTATTATCTGACTAGAAGCCAGATCTACAATGGCTAACAATTTTACACATCTAAGCAAATTTATTGTCACAAAAAATAATAATAAAAGTTTTGATAAAGTACCAGATGAGGTTATTCTGATAGTTAAAATACTCTAAAATAAATAATATCTTATAATATAGTACTAGAAAACTAAGAAAGGCACATGCAAATTTGTAAAACATGTTTTTGCAAAAGAAAGACTGGTGTAACTTTGTTTTGATCTGTCTGACACCAAAATGAATTGAAACAGATAATACACAAAATGTAGCAGTGATGGTTATGTTCCATCTCTAACACTCATATATATAATTATATACCTTCTTTACCATATAATTTAAAGCTTATACCTTAACTGTTTTACATACAATTCTATTTTAACTTATTTGCACATAGTTTTGTTTTAATCCTGTAAAAAATTAGAGGCATGCAATGAAAAACTTCAACATAAATTTCAACTAAAACCTTGAAACTAAAACAAAGTATATATATTTACTCATTTACATTCAAACTTCCTAATGATTTTAATGCTCTTATGTCTTTCTTAAAAATTACAATTCATTATATTGATTTTGATTTCCTCATATAATGGCATGCTATAAAACAAGAACAGCATGTTCAATTAATTACAAAGCACCATAATCCACAAGAATCTCTCTTAACGTCCTCATTTTAATTTGATTGTACAGTGTATGATCTGCAAGAAAGATAAATATAATAAAAAATTTTGCAGCAACTTCTATTAAGCATTTAGCAGACTGGACTGGTAGCTTTTATGTGTTTGTTCACCTTATGAAATTTCTACCAATAAAAAAAAATCAAGCAGTAATGCAAATATTTCTTTTTACATGAAAACAGAGATCACAATCCTAAGAAATGAAACATTAATTTTTATCAACTCACCACACTTTTGTGAATACACACTTTCAATAATTTAATGGTAAACTGTTTCTCTATTTAAATGAATGAGCTCTGTGTGGACATGTGCTCAAGTGGTACGGAAGTGTGCACTTGCATACCTAACAGTTTTATTCTTTATCACCTCCAAGAGTATTGACCCTCCTGACAGTTCAGAACATGATAATACTGGTGGCCATGATTCATCTGAAATCAGGAATTGTGAACTTTCAAAAAATAATCAAATAATCAGAAGTTTACTTAAACTAATTCAAAGGTAGCATAATAAGCAAAATGAAAATTACTGTAAACAATTTAAACAATTCCCAAATAATACTTTATAAAGTATGTCTTGTTACAATAGCAAAAAAAAATATTTAAAACTATCAAGGTTTTACCTACATCTTTCCAAAGGTTTTCTATTGTTTTGATCTTCAGGAAATATTTTACATTATATTACACACATGTTTATAAGTTGGAAAAAGCTAGATTTAAGCAGAATGAGTTGGACCAAGCCAACAAAACAAAACTGGGCTAAAACTAATTTATTTGTTAATTTCAGAATTTAGTGTATATCTACACATAGGCTATCTTTACATAGCCTTTCTTAACTGACTGACTACAGTGAAGGAAGCTAGTCAACAGCACCCCTTTACCAACTCTTGGTGCACTCTTTTCTGATTTAATAATTGAATTTGAATATCACTCTTATAGTGCACCCATGGCCCTAAAGTATGTTTTTGTGACAAAAGGTTGCAAAACCATTAATCCTTGGATCACAATCCACTAACACTAATCATTAGGCCACACCAAGCCCCTAAAATAACTTATAATGGGTTGAAACTTTTTATTTGTTTAATAATGACAAACTATAGCTATAAAATTCCATAACTGTACATACCTAAAATAAATTTCAATTAAGTCAGTAGCATTAGTTTGTGATAAATGTTGTTGTTGTTTGTTGAAGTTTGTGCAAAACTACTTGAGGGCTAACTGCATCAGCTGTTCCTAATTTTGAAGTTACAGAGTAAAGTGAAGGCAGCTAGTCAACACCATCCAACAAGAACTCTCCAGTTAATCTAATCGAATAATAGGACTTGACCATAATTTTATTATGCATCCATAGCCCCAAAATGCAGAACAGGTTGTGAACCACAGGACCTCAGATTCACAGTCTAACCATTGAGCCTCCCTCAACCCATTAGGATGCAAGATAACTTAATCAAAGTCATAGTTTTTCAGTTATACATGTACCCAATGCAAGTGTCATGATCTACTTCTACACTAAATTAAATTTGATTTTTTTTTACTGAAATATACACAACCTTTTGTCAAACAAACAATTTGAGCACAGTGGCATAGCAAGGGTTCTCAGCACCCAGGGGCAAAGATGCTTTTGGTACCCCCACCTCTGAAATGTTTTGATTATTTGTTTTGTGACTCATTACCCACTTAATGACAATAACAAAGAATTTATTACTGCCTTACACAGGCCTAAAATAAAGTCACAATATCACAACTGTAAACCTGGAACTAATGAAGTATAGCCTACTAGGTGTACTTACATAATTTGTAAACCATTTTGATATTTATGTCATCCAGTGTTGTTCAAAGTCACATGGCTAGACTAATCTTTCAAGCATGCAGAATAAATTTCTGTTATATCCCTAGTTTGGAAACTTATGTTTTATATGAGAAGCCAGTTACTTGTGGTATACATGGATTATAAAACAGATTGATAAAATACTACTTAGGTTTACAAATAAAAATTTTTATTAGATTTCAAAACTGTACATATACTTTGCTACCTGTACAAGATCTAGTTTTCTGGTATTCATGGTTTCATTATATGAACCTTTCGTGCTTTTGCTACTGCAAATGCATCAATTAAACTATCAATACTTAATATTGCCAAGTTACTAAGTCATTCTTGAGTCATTGAGGTTCTCCAGTATGTAAGAATTAATTTCAGCTTGCCGAAGGACCTTTTACAACTAGCAATATAAACTCCAACTGTTAACAAAATCTGCAATGCAATTCTTAAATTTGGGAAAAAATCTTCACCATATGAAATTATAAATGTTAGCAAATCAGTTGCAACCATTGGTTCAGGAAAATCGGTCCGTGTTCTTTTACTTATCAACGTTCTACAGTCTTTAATTTCTCTGTACAATTCTGGTCCATCAATATCACCTGGATATCTCTTTGCTAAGTCAGAACATTTTTCTTGCAATTTTCCGTCTTCGAAATATCCAGAAACAATATTTTAAACATCTAGTAGAAATCCAAACCGTGAATCTAAATCTAGTAAGCGAGAAAATCTTCCTGTTATTTCTGTAATAAAGCGATCAATAACATCCTTCATGAAGCGATAAATTTCCTGTTCAGCAGGCAATCCAGCATCAGCTGCATTTTCACCTGGCATTCTTTTTCGACGTATTTTCTTCTTTCAATGGTCAATCCCCATGTTTCACATTAATTCTTGCCCACTTTAAGTGCTTCTTGACAGGACTTTTCACGT